CATCCGATGACCTGTATAGTGTACTCTGTGTAGAATTTTGTACTGAATTAATTGTAAATTGGGGTGTCTGATCATTTTAAAAGTTTTTAAACAAGTTTGGGACCAGAAGTTCTGGTCAAAGCTGACCGATAGATCCACCTCCCATTTTTCAATAGGGATTGCAATTTTATCGTCTATTTTGGGCAGTGTCTTATATACTTTAGACAGTAGTTTGGGGTTTTTGAGATTATAAAAGTCTAATACCCTTGGTGGTGTTTGTAATTCTATTTTATTGAGCTTAAATTTTTGTTTGACTACAGATTTAATTTGGTGATATTCTAAAAAGCTGTTCTTATCCATTCAGAATTGGGAGACTATTTGATTAAATGGGATGAAGTCCAATCCTTCATATATGTGTTCCAGGTATAGGATTCCTTTATTTTTCCAGTCCGGAAGGTTCATCATTTTGTTTTTTTGCAGAATGTCAGGATTATTCCAGATAGGTGTGCGTCTGCATGGTACTAGTGAAGACTCTTGTCATTTTAAGATACTCCCACCATGCTGTCAGAGAGGTGCTGATACTAATACTTTTGAAGCTTTCATGTTTTCTTATGCTTGAGCTAATAAATGGTAAGTCTGAAAGCTCTATCGTATTGCAAAGTGTCTGTTCTATATCTAACCAGGACTCATCTAGTGGGTTATCTTGCAACCATCTTGGTATATATTGCAGCCTGTTGGCTAAGAAATAATAATAAAAGTTGGGTAAATCCAGTCCTCCTCTGTCTTTGGTCTTCTGAAGCGTTTTTAAGCTAATTCGTGGAGGTTTATCCAGCCAAAGGAATATGGTAATTGAGGAGTCCAGAGATCTAAACCAGTCAGCTGGTGGTTTGTTTGGGATCATCGAGAATAAGTAATTTATTCTGGGTAAGACCATTATTTTAATTGTAGCAACTCTCCCCATGAGTGATATTGGTAAGGATTTCCATCTTGCAAGATCATCTTCCACTTTCCTTAAAAGTGGGATGTAGTTTAGTTTGGTTAGATCTGCTAACTTGGGAGAGATATTAATTCCCAGGTATGTGATATTCCCTGACTCCAATTGTGTATTAAGCAAATTGACAAATGAGAAATTAATTGGTAGAACTGTGGATTTTAACCAGTTTATAGAGTAATCTGAAACTCTTGAAAAAGAGTTTATCAGTTCTATTGCTTGGGAGAGAGAGGATTGAGAATTCTGGAGAAAGAGTAAAACATCATCTGCATAAAGACTGATCTTATGTTCTATTTTCTTACACTTTATCCTTTTAATATCTGTTGTTTGCCTAATTGCTGCTGCTAGTGGTTTGATAAAGATAGCAAACAGTGAGGGGGAGAGTGGGCATCCCTGCCTGGTTCCCCTCTGAAGACAGAAGCTAGCTGATATTTGGTCGTTCGTCCTGACACGTGCTGTTGGTGAACTGGATAATGTTTGTAGCCAGTTTATGGAGAAGTTCCCAAAGCCAAATTTATGTAAAGTTGCAAATAAGAACTTCCAGTTAACTCTATCAAAAGCTTTTTCTGCATCTAGAGATAATATACTAGTTTCTATGTTTCTACTGTAAGAGAAATCTATCAAATTAAGTAATCTACGTGAGTTTGTGGATGACTGTCTACCTTTAATGAAACCAGTTTGGTCAGGGTGTATTATGAAGGGGGTTACCTTCTCTAATCTTTTGGCCAGGGCTTTACAACTTATTTTGAGATCAACATTAATAAGAGAAATTGGGCGATAGCTGGTAGGAAAAGCAGGGTCTTTGCCTGGTTTTAACAAGAGACTAATATTGGCTGAGTTCATGTTTGGATGTAATCTGCCGCTCTCTTCGATTTCCCTCACCATTCTGAAAAATGTTGGAGCCAGAATGATCCAGAATTATTTGTAGAATTCTACTCGGAACCCGTCTGGACCTGGAGCTTTCCTATTACTCATGGATTTAAGGGCTTCCTGGAGCTCCGCTGATGTTAGTGGCGAGTCCAGGACTGTAACTTGGCTGTCTGATAATTTAGGAAGTGTTATCCTATCAAGGAACTCATTGATCTCATTATCTGATGGGTTTATCTGTGGTGAGTACAAAGTTTGGTAAAAGTCTCTGAAGGTGTTGTTTATTATTTCAGGGTCATAAACTATATTCCCGGTTGAGTCTTTAACAGCAGATATGGTAGTTTTCTCTTTATTTATTTTTAATTGGCTAGCTAAGAATTTACCTGATTTATTACTATGTTCGAAGTTTTCTATTTGTAGTCTTTGTGCTAAAAATTGTGTCTTTTTGTCAATAATTCCATGAAGTTCTAATTTAGCTTTATGTAATTTGCTCATTGACTCTTCTTCTGTGGACGCCTCTAAAGTCTTGATGATTTCCTCTAACTCCTGAATACGTTTGTTTTCTGTTTTTTTCCTATGTGATGAGAAAGAGATTATTTTACCTCTCATCACTGCCTTTCCTGCCTCCCAGAGAATAGGTGCTGATGTTCCAGGCAGGTCATTATGTTCCAAATATAAAGCCCACTCCTTTTTTAAAAAATCTATAAAACCTTCGTCTTTAAGCAGTGATGTATTAAACCTCCAGTTTTTGCTTGGTGGGATTGTCTTCTTATTTACCAGAGTTAAAGAAACCGGAGCATGGCACAAACCCGCCGCCCCTACGGTCCCTCTTAGCAGCCCCCCGACCTTCTTTTTCATCCTCCTCCACAAAAGAGATTGACTCAAAGCGAAGCCGGGCCGCTGTCTTGCCCGGGTATGTACAGGCCGTCGGCCGACAACCCTAACAACCACCAAAGCCAACCCAAGCCGAGCAGCCTCCACAGCAACCCTCTGCCACCAGCACCTGTCCTCTCCCCCTCATTTCTTCTGGCAGCTCTGCCTTTTACGCTGCTCAGGTGGGTGATCCGCTGTGCAGCTGAAGGGAGGCGCTGACGCTCATTTTTGGTAAACTTGAGTTACGCAGCTCCTTCTTCCACAATAAAAAAAGCAGCAGTCGTAACATCGACATCTACAAGAGGACAGAAGGAGTGTTGAAACACAAGAGCCTGCTCTACACACGACTCCCAGCTTTGACAACGTACCTGCTTCCCAGCCCTGTGGAAACTCCCGACAAAGACATTACACCTCCTGACTACACAATCCATTATGGACCTTTCTTGACCTGCAATATTGTAAAGGGTGCAAGCAGATCGCTGCCCTATATACATGATTGTGTATACTAAAAAATAAATAAATGTACTGTTTTATTTGTGTATTGTTGTATTTCAATCATTGCCTTTACAACATCCAATATTGTTCGAGTTACTCACTTCTGCCAATTTAGTTTCGTGCTGATTCCTGTTTTGTGTCTTGTCTACATAACGTGTTTTCAAAGTTCCCGAAGTCACTGGTTTCAAGTATGGTGACAATGTTGTTTTTTGTGTGTGTTTTGTATTTTGTAGCACGATAATGTGACACCAGATAGATGAACTTTTATCAGCATAAGAAATTGGGGTGTGACATGAGAGCGTGTGAAGAAAGTCAAATGCGTGACAGGTGAGGAAAACACCTCTAGTTAAGTGAAACTGAACTGTGCAGGATTGCATCAAGCTGGGTGGTGCAGTGGTTACTACCATTGTCTTGCAACAAGAAGGTCTTGGGTCCAAATCCTGGTTTAAGAAGTTTGTAGTACATTCTTCCTGTGCATGCATTGGTTCTCTGGGTAATCTGGCTTCCTCCCACCATCCAAAAAATGTGGCTGTCAGGTTGACTGATCTCCTTTAATTGTCCTTAGGTGTGAGTGTGCTTATGTGACAGGGTGAGTGTCACTGTATCCTGATGGATCATGTGGCCATGGGGATGTCCCTTTGGCTGACTGGTTAGCACGCGTGACTTTCACCCGGGGATTGAATCCCACCCGGGCTCTTGTTTCTCCACCTTGGTTGTTTGTTCTGTGTGTCTTTGTGTTGCCCTGCGATGGACTGGCAACCTGGCCGAGGTGTACCTCGCCTGCTTACCCAAAGACTGCTGAAGATAGGCACCAACCCCCTGCAGCCCAGCATGGACAAGCAGGTACAAAAAAGCCTTGGATGAACCAAACTGAAAACCAGGGTTTGCAACGGGAGGATATGGTGCTGGGTTGAGCTCTGTTCTCTAACGCAGTAACTCTGTTTGTCCACCAGAGGGTGCTAATAAGGTGAACCTCATATGGCATCAAAGCAGGACTGTTTTCCGTATCAACAGACTTTTCTGATGTATCTGATACTTCTACCGCCCAAACTAACCCCGGAGTCTGCAGCCATACTAGAGCCTTTTCTGCCCCTTTCCCATTAAAACAATAAAGGTCCACAAAACCTAAAACAAAGATTACACATAGCGCTGCACCAAAAACACGAATGGTTACATTAGGAATACAAAAAGCTGTGCTACTGTTTTTACATTTATTATTAGTATTTTAACTTTAAGACTAAGAAAAAGAACAAAATGTTTAAAATGTTTTGTTTTGGGGGGTGGGACTAACCATCAGATCAAACTTGAGCTTTATTCTTTACAATAATGACACTTTTCTTTTCCCTTTTTTTAGATTGAAAAACAGTTAAAACCAGAATATGGTGCAATGTTCATTTATGTCACTGAGACAGACTCATAACATGCAAATCCAGATATTTCAGCCTTTAATTGTTATTATACTGTGATGACTGTGGCTTAAAGCTGATAAAAACCCCACATTCATAATCTCAATTAGAAAATTGTGAAAAGGTTCAATATTCTAGACCCAAAGTGTCTCACTCTGACCATCTGATGAATCCGGAACACCTGCAGAGGGTTTCTGAGCCTTTAGATGGTCTCTCAGTCTGAGCTTGATCATGGACATAAATGGACTTTTGCTACAGATTCAGATTTTGCCAGTTTCACCTGCATGTCGTTCTTAGGGAAACAGGTATAATTACAATTCCTGTTATGGTTTGGACAGAATTATCTGCAGTCATTTATCCAGTTTTACATTTGAATCATTTTCCACAGGTGAAAAACAAGCGCAGTGCAGTTTATTAAGTATTTACACACTTTCTGTGATGCCAACAAAAATAAAAGCATTTCTAAAAATTCATACATAATTCCTGAGAGGCAGAAAACTCTTGATTGCTGCTTTCATCTGCTCAGCTTACCTAAAATGTTATTTGCCAATAAAGATTAGCAACAAATATTCAGTTTGACAACCATAAGAAATTCAAGGGTTTAAAAATGACCTCATGAGTAGTTTGGTTTTCCTTCTGGCCTCTGAACTGATTCCCAGCAGCAGCCATCTCAGCTCCTACCTCATAGACGCCATATAAAGTGCACAATATCTGACTAAGCAGCGATGTGAAGCTGTCATAGGTTCTGTTGTGGAACAGCAGGTCCTCTAATGCACTCAGAACTGCACGATGTCTGGCTCTGAAGGTGGCGTGGCTGACGTGTGGTATAGAAACATGTAGGAGTCACACAGCAGCCTCCGTACCAGCTCCGGAGCCTGGAAAGGGTTCGCCCAGGCCAAATCCTCCTCAGGCTGGCTCAGGAAGTCCCCGAGCTCGGGACAAGCTCGGACCTCTGGAATGCTGTACCCGTTCTGATCATCACCTGTGAAGGAAGAGCAGATTAGAGATCAGCTCCAAACGGAGATAAAGGCCAGCTGGAGGACGTCAGAGCTGCTCTGAAGCAGGTCTTTATCTGCTTTTGTCAAGGCTGCATTCAAGATGAAAAGCTGTCACTAATTTAGAGCATTTTTAAAAAGCAATGAATCAGAACTACATTAAAATATTCTTTATAGATCATTTGCTGTTGTAGTAAAAAACAGTCGGTCTTACCGCATCTGTCTGCCATGCTGTCAAAAAACAGCCAGGAGTGTGGGTCGGGGCCGTATTTGACAAACGACACAAAGTGGCTGGTTTGAATGCAGAGAACGGCAAACAGCTCCATTTTGTGCCGAGGCACGGGAGCGCTACTTTCTGCATCTGCTGGCACTGAGAGAGCGCTGGGAGAGTGACTGCGTCGGGAGGGATGGATGTGCACCTACAAACAGCAGGATGTTACACCCTACAGTCCGTACAGGAACCGGTCACGCCTCTGGATCTGCCTACCTGGGTGTTGCAGGCGTTACAAAACTGTTTGACTCTTCCTGGTTGTAGTTTGTTATCTGGTAGGCACTGAAGACACTCGAGTCTTGCCAAGTCTCCACAGATAAAACATTCCCTCGGAGCTGTGGGGAAACAGAGGTCGTCCATAAATCTGTCCCGATCCCTAAAGCTGACCACCCATTTCTGACCGTCTCTGATCCTCACCGTTGTGCAGCAGGTCTGTGATGTCCAGCTCAGTGGAGGGGAGGATGTGAGAGAACATCTTATACTTGTTTCCACACCGTGGCATCTGAATGATCAGACAGGAGGGCACCTGAGGGGTGACAAACACAGACGATGACGTTCCCAAAAGAGTTTTCAAAATGTTTGAGAGGGTTGTTAAATTCCTCATGAAGTCTCAGGAGTTTGCTTTTGAGTTTCTGGAATGTTGAACACATTCAAAAGGTTTGAGCAACACGTTTCTGAAGGTTTTTACAGATTGGATGCAGGGGCGTGGGACTGGTCTGGAACAGAAAGGCAGTGCAAGAGGGCTGGTGCTATGACCAAAACAAGGTTAAACAAGGACATGACTAACACTTTGTGTCTAAAGTGGGATTTTCTTTTAGGTTTGACTCTAACTAGAGACGAACGGCTGCAGCTGAGAGAGATCCTGGCCGAGAGGTCTTTTTTGAAAGGCCTCACCGCTTCAAACTGCAGATGACCTGACTGGCAGGACGTGTCCAGCAGATGTTGGACGGTGGGCATCTGCTTAATCTGTTCTTTTTCCAGAAAGATCTGGAGCGTGTACGCCCCGTGAGAAGTTCCTTCTTCTGATCTATAAGGTGACACAGAAATTCAGGAAGTGAGCCGTGCAGCTGAAACGCGGGACGAGATGCTGGCTTCGGCGCAGACGAGGAGCACACCTGAGCCTGAGCAGCGGCTCGATGCGGAGCACCTTCTGAAAGAGGACTGAAATGAACTCCTCTGGATCTGTGGAGAGGAAAATGTGACAGCTGTCAGCCACTGGCCGCAGGAGGTTGTGTCATAATGACCTCATGGAGACACAACGCAACACTTTGGGGTGTACCTTTTTCGTGTGTCCTAAAGGTGTCACAGCCTAGCTGTTCACGCAGATTCATCACACTCTCTGCAGGTACGAACCCCTGTCTGCAGTTAAAACACCAGCCATCAGAAGGCAAACCAGGAACGTGTATTTTGCAGCAGTTATAGTTTCTACCTGCGTAGACGGTTGATTATTGTTCTGAGAGTGCAGGTTAGGGGCTGCTCGTTGGCAGCAGGCTTGCAGCAGACGGAGTCCACGGTCACAGATGAACTGAACAAACTAAAGGAGAAAACACAACCTGAATTTGGCCGCACATCATCTAATGATAACATTTCCTCATCGCTGTTGCCTCAGTCACCTGTAGAGGTCCAGGTTTTACCTGAAGAGTGTAGCGTCCAGGTAACAGGAGTTGATGTGGCCCTGGATCCCCTTCATTTTCCCCACAAACAGCGGCAGTGCCTCGGATTCAGGAACCGGTGGAGCATCCTCCCCCGAGTCCTCGTACGGAGGAACTGGAATGAGCGAGCAGAAAGAAAAAAACACATCAAACGACGACTGAACCCCTCGACTGGAAGCTTCAGGCTGAAAAACAGCCCAACCAGACAGCCATGTAGGCCTTCACGGATGATAAAAACCTCCTGATTCAGAGCAGGAAATGGCTGCATCGTTTCAAATGTCACTGACGCTACACCCGCGTAAGTCAGTGGAATAAAGTGAGACGGGCTGATTGTGGAAGAGCTTTCAGGTTGTGTTGTTATAAAGGACAAAGGAAACTGGGATTAGGTAAACGGGGGTGTTTACCTGACCCCATCATAGTGGTACCCTGGTTACCACATCCTGAACTACAGCGCCACTCTGGCACAGGCACACATGAAGCACGTTTCCTAAACCTCTAAAAGAACATGTTCATTAACTTCTCATTAAACAGTGACTAGGGTGTGAAGGGTGAAACCGTGGGGAGGTGTCTGACCTGTGCGGGGTTCTGTGACTCTGACCGGGCCTTCTGTTGACGAGTGGATGAACCTGCTGTCAGGGCTGCACTTTGTGATGGGGACAAACAAAGCTCTGTTTCCTTTGCAGGTGAAATACCTCTGACCTTGGTACAGCCCATCAGAGCAGCCGTTCACATCGTAGTCCTGGGGCGAGACCGCCGGGTTTATGTGAAGTCACACGAAGCCAGCACAGATGCATCAGAACCTAAACACACTCACCAGCTCGATCCCTGCCCAGTCACCTGTCTTCCCCTCAGGGACCCCCAGCCAGTGGATGACTCCGTGCACTTTGACCCCCGTGTTGGAAACGACCTCCACCAAGGAGCCCACCTCCAGCGGCGGTGTAGGAGACAGGTCCAGCCGTTGGTCTTCACAGGCAGACTGGTTCTGGTTCTCTGTCACTTGTGGTGAACTCTTCTCGATGCTTGACGTGGAGCTGATGTGTGTCACTGCTTTTCTTGAACCTGCAGACAGATTTGGAGAGGGTGTGTGTGAGTGTGTGTGTGTGGGTGTGAGGTATGAAGTCATTTACAGTTAGAGTTATTCAACATTGTTGTGTCATCACACTGAATCTGAACAGGCAGCTTTGCATGACTCCACTGAGGAGGTATGCAGAGAGTTTGGAGTGCACCTGTGTGCACAACTATGAGCATGTGATGAGTCTTCAGTTATGTATTCTGGGGCTACCAGACCGGTTTTTCCTGCTCGGTTCTTGGACCACTACTACGTCGTCTCTAGAGCTTTCAGATTTAATCACATCAGAATTTTTCTTTGCATTTCTTGGGTAAAAACGTTTCCAAATGAAAGAGAATGAGTCGGTGCTTTGTGCCGTGAAGGCCGACATAAACTTACCCTCACACTTGCCCTCTCTCCAGTGCAGTCCAAGGTGGACCGAGTAGGACGGAACCACCTGGATGACGTCTGCAGCGCTGAAGATGGGTAGAGGAGCTGCAGGCTTTGCTGATGCCATGTTCTTATCGCTGTCCTATTCAAGAGAAGACCTGTTATAAACTCAGATCCACACAACAAATATTTGTGACTGATATCTTGAGCGAACAACATCTGAAGCTTCTTATCTTGTCAAGAGGCATTTAGATTCTTAAAGATGGTGTGCTCATCCTTATCTTGATGCATTAGAGGTTTCATGAACGAGTGTCACACCGTGACAATCCAGTGCTTTTAATCAAGACTCCTGCACATCAGTCATGGAAGTAAAAGCAGACAGGCAACATCACTTACCACAAACTCCACCTCAAAGCCGAGCATGTGCAGATCCTCTTTGCTTTCTTTTCTCCCAATTTTCATCAGGTTCTTCACCATTCCTGGCAGGTGTCCCTTCTTGTACCGGATAACCACCAGGTCGTTGGGGGACAGCTCGCAGATGGCTGAGAAGAGCTGCGGGTTACACAGCAGCTCCAGGCGTCTACTCACGCTGGCAACAAAGAGCAGGAGCTGGGCCTGGTGGCGCGTCAGGGGGTACGTGTCCTCCTTCCTCACCAGGCCTCCATTTTTTGGGGTCCCTGCATTGGTGGCACATCCATACAGAATCCCCATCAGCTCCCCGTTTGCACTCTCCGTCTCCACACGACCAATACACCCTCTGCTGAAACCTTTCTTCGACTTCCCTCGAAGAATAATGAAAAACTTCTCGTTTAATCTTTTGGGCTCCATGGAGATTCTTTGTTTCAGCTGCTGAAGCTGGTTAAAGACGTGTGCAGCTGCAAGAGCGCTCAACGATGCAACAGACCTGTAGAAGTACAGCAGAAATACATTTACTGAATAAGAAGAGAGACCAGCAGCTAAGACCTGGGACTTAGCAGGAGCGGACCAGGGAGGAGGACTTGGTCATGTTTGTGGCACTGCTTAACTTAGTTTATACAACAACGTTAAATATATTTAGATTAACAGTTTATAATAATGACTGAAAATAAAAACTAACGTTGTGATTTTGACTAAATGTTAAACTAACATGCAAACTCAGACAGTAGCGAGATAAAAGTAGTCTTCCAAAATAAAAGCAGGGTGAAGGTATTCCCTCTCCAATAAGGATCATTTACCAAACGTCACAGAGAAACCAGACAGGATCATCCATGACCGATCCGTGGATGAACGAAGCCACCAAACCTTCCTCTAAAGACAGATGTACGCAATAATATCACTTTTATTTTGTTAGGCTGCTTCCTTTCTGTTCAGATTTGCATTTAACAATATTGAGGATTTACCCATTTTATATTTCATATTTGATAAACATTTAGATGTTTTTTATATTGTGAACGTCTCAGATTTCACCAGCCGACACAAAGCCATCTCCGTAACTCTAATAATTCTATTCAGGTTTAATCTCGTTTACTTACTCCCTGTTTTCATTAGTCCGGGTTAAATCGTCGGGTTTCACGCGGATTATTTGCGCGCAAAAGCCAGGACTCCAGACGCGGCTCCGCACTTCCTCCAGCGAGGCACCGCGGAGGAGGAGTGTGAAACCGGACGCTTTAAAACCAAACTTGCATCACGTGATCGACACCGCCCACATAACGGCTCAGCTGAGTCCGGGACCGTCCCAGAGCCAGACGAGCTTCCTGACGCAGCCCCGGGTCACCTGCGCTGCGTCAGGTGTCACAGAGGCGCAACGCGTCTGACTCATCGACATGAATACCCTACAGGTCTGACTACAGCTGCGTTTGGCCCGCATGAGTCTGATCACATCAAATAAACAGTTTGGAAAATAAATACAGGGTTTCATCAACTTTTCCGTTTGGAGAATGACGACCCAGCGCAGCAGCTGGAGTTTGGTGCATGGCTTTGCAAAACTTGAGTTTACTTGTTTTTCATTGAAATGGAAATAAATCACAATTAGTTTGCAGGAGAAAAGAGCTTTAAACAAGATCCAAGTCCAAATGGCTGTAATTGTCAGGATCTTCTTCTCCCTCTGATCCTGTTGGACTCACCCTTTGTTATCCTACCCCACCTGATTAATGGTCACCCGTGTGTGTTTAAACCTGCTGGTTGTGCTATTCAGGTGCTTCTCTTATCATCCCACCTACCACTCACCTGCATTTGGGTCCAATTGCAACCAACTCCACGTCATGACAGTAATTTTTGCTGAAGCTCAACAAGGTGGAGAAGTTTTGAAGAAAAGTATTTGCAGACACTGGTGAGTGCATGAACTGATAATCACTGGAGGAATGTTGACTAAAGCTGGAGCAGACGTGCCGCCACTCCAAGAGCAGAGCCTGATTGTGAAAGTAAACTACTGATTGTAAATAACCAATCTGCCCCAGTTAGATGGAAGCTTCTAGGATTTCATTACAAAACAAACATGAAATATGTGGTGCAGACTTATTACCTGAATGCAGACAGAGAAACTGCATAAGGGCAGGAAAGAAACCACTCTTCTAGAAAACCATCAGACCACACTGTTCTGCAGAAGGTCCAGAAGTTGGACTGCTGAGATCACTTTATCAGACAGATCCTGTTTGAGGCATTTAGACCAGTGGTCTGTGACCCCCCCCCCCCCCCCCCCCCCCCATTTGAGGTTACCATGACAAAATTGTGGGGGGGCGGGCTCACCCACAGTTTAGCCTCAGACCATAGACTGGGACCGAGACATGTTCCCAGAGGAACTCCAACCACGTTAATCCCATCCAAAGCTTGTACTATTCTCAGAACCCGTACAGAATCACGGTGACAGGCAGTCCACGTGGACTGATCCAATCAGCCACATCTCTTTGACGCAGGCAGCATGCATGGGTGACAGTATCTCAAGAGCAGATCGGCGTTACATAACAATCCTTATTTTCTTCAGCTACTGCTCTCAAAGTGGCCATGCGTCCTCCATCTGCATTCAGACCAAGCTTTATCAGAAAAAATGGAGTCACACGCGAGGAGCTTTTCTCTTCATGACAGAACATGTGAGTAAACAAGTTTTTCCTCTGGCTGAAGGTCATTACTCGTTTAGCCGTCAGTCACAGCTGGCTGGTGACCCTATCTAGGATACATGTTTTCAAAGATATTGATATAATTATGTTTGTAGCAGCAACAATGATACATCCAGGACACGTCTGTTGGTCTACGAATGCTTTAATTATTCTGGATTCACAGAACAGCAGGGACCAAACCGCCATCTTCTGGAAACTCAGCTGATGGGAGCAAAATGAGACGCTCGTGAACTTAGAAATTCGTCATCAAAAATGCAAAGGGTCAGTGATTAAGTACGGTTTCACACTTACAGTCAGGGAAATGTTCACATGGCTCCATTACTCTTCCAAAGAGAGGCTCTCATTTGTTCTGTTAGTCAGGATTAATAATTCCAGCATCTAAATGAAGAGTTTGCACCATAAAAGGGCTTATGATGATTTAACTGAATCTAATATTTGCTGGAAGGTAAAGAGCTCAGACCTGGGTGATTTCCCTCAAACGGTTTGGTCCACCTGAGCTGCTCAGTCCCATGTAGGTCCCACATTTGTTCCAGACCGGTACCATCACCGAGGGCATGAGAAATGTCAGTGGTCTCTTTCCAGGCCCAATGTGGTTCATCTGCTCCACGAAAAGCAAATAAATTCTGCACATTGACTCATGGGTTACTGATTATTGGTTGGTCTATGCAGAGGGGTCACACCTGGTTAGCCTGAGGAAGCCCCCTGCTGTGGTTTGACCAGTAGAAGCTGAGAATGAGGCTGTTGAGGATTATGCCCGACTGAGTAATGATCCTGCTCCCAAACGGCCCATTCAGAGAACTGTAAGGTCATCAAAAGGGCAGATAAGAGAAGAATGTCACATTGTCCTGAAGCACATACCACACATATCCTGCTGCTGAACACCACCAACTGTGAGCTGAAACACCATCACCTGGCAACAGACACCACCAGGTCATCTGGTCCCATGACCACCACCTGCCCAGTCAACAGCTCCTTCAGCGACTCGTTGTCAGACGGAGATGTTCGAGAGCTTTTCTGCTGCAGCAACTCAGCACGGCTCTGACTTTTGCTAAAGCAGACAGGCAAAATGGAGAGGTACGTGTAAGTATCTGATGAAGAGGATCCGATTGGACACATTGGACTCTGGATGTGTTATTGTCTATCATTTCATGAAGAACTTCATTTAATTAACTATTTGACTTCTGACCAACAAGGGAAGCAGCGATGTGAAAGGTGTGTGCACAGGTTCTCAATCCTGGTCCTGGAGGGCTGCTATACCGCATGTTTTAGTTGTTTCCCTGTTTCAACACAGCTGATTTTAATGAGCAGGTGATTAACAGGCTATAGCAGAACCTGATAAGCTGCTGAGCAGGTGAATGTGCTTCTGAGTGCAGGTACAGACTGGGACAATAATTCAGATTGGGGATTTGAAACCATCCCAGGCTACCATCATAGACCAGTTAACGCAAAACACCTGTCTGACAGATTTCATTTTGTAAATGTACATGACAAATCTTCTCCATACTACAGGGTTACTTGTGGAGTACCACAGGGTTCAGTGCTAGGACCAATTCTTTTTACTATATATGCTCCCAATTGGTAAAATCATTAGACAGCATGGGATAAACTTCCACTGTTATGCTGATGATACTCAGCTATATTTATCCATTAACCCTGGTGAACCTAATCGGTTGGGTAGATTACAAGCTTGTCTTGAAGACAAAAAATTGGATGACTCAAAACTCTGCTTTAAAATTAAGACAAGATGGAAGTTCTCATCTTTGGACCTGAAAATCAGAAAAGGAAATTGCTTAGCCAATCGCCTGACCTTAATGGCATTACATTAATCTCCGAGAACAAAGTAAGGAACCTTGGCGTTATCTTTGACCAGGACATGTCATTCCAATCCCAGGTTAAACAGGTTTGTAGGATTTCATTTTTCCACTTTCGGAATATTGCTAAGATTAGAAGCATCCTTTCCAGGAGTGATGCTGAAAAACTAGTTCATGCATTTATTACATCAAGACTGGATTACTGTAATTCATTACTCTCAGGAAGTCCACAGAATGTAGTTAAAAGTCTTCAGCTTGTCCAAAATATTGCAGCTAGAGTTCTGATGAGAATTAAAAAGAGAGATCATATCTGTCCTGTCTTAGCTTCCCTACATTGGCTACCTGTTAAATTCAGAATAGATTTTAAGATCCTTCTTCTCACATATAAAGCTCTCAATAATCAAGCTCCATCATACATCAGTGATCTGATTGTTCAATATGTTCCTAACCGAGCACTTCGCTCTCATACTGCAGGTCTACTGGTGGTTCCCAGAATATCTAAACTTAGGATGGGAGGCAGATCTTTTAGTTATCAGGCTCCTCTCCTGTGGAACCAGCTCCCAGCCTTAGTCCGTGAGGCAGACACTTTGTCTACTTTTAAGAATAGGCTTAAAACATTTTTATTTGATAGGGCCTATGGTTAAAATTTGGTGTTAGCCTAAATCAGGACAAGTGGGGGAGTAGGGGGAGGTGGAGTGTACAGTCGGTAAAAACGGCTCTCCCTTGCCCTGCCTCCAACATGCCTCCATCTAAATAGGATAGATTATCCAGAGTTATCTCTGTAGTTATGCTGCTATAGGCTTAGACTGCTGGAGGATACACTGACCACTTTCCACATTCTACTACTTTCTTCTACAATCTGCTCTTTAACTGTATCATTTCCTGCTATTTCAGCTGTTAACTTTATTTTCTCTGTAAGTGTTTTTCTCCCCAGAAGAAGCTACAATGATGTTCTGCTGAGCTGTGGTGGCCTCATGGAGGGGGCCATCGTCTAGCACACTGCTGCTAACCACTTAAAACATTCTCCCTCTCCTGATAATAACATTTTGCTTTCCTTTGACATTGAATGTGCTACAACTAGTTTACCCATTTAATTATAGATTCACTAGGATAAATACAATAAAGTTTATTTCTCACCAAATAGAATATTTACTATGAAATCACAACGTAACCATACTTGTGTGTGTGTGTGTGTGCTTGTGTGTGCGTGTGCGTGCTCTGCTCGGTCTGCTCTCCACTGTCGCTAAATGCTTGCTTAGTATGAGGATTGCTGTAAAGACTTTGACACTAGTCAGTGACTTGATGCAACCTGCTGGGTTCCTTATATAGGAAACAGCATCTACCTGAACTTGAGACCAATCCTGGTTTTACACCATCAGGTGCCAGACTAGTTTTTCACTCATGTGACTCTGCAGTCGTGCAACACTCGCGCCACTACAGGGTCAATTATAGCATCTCACCACAAGTGTGACATGAGTTGATCTTATGGTTTCTATGTAAATTATAATTATACTTTTTAAATGAACAACTGAAATAAGTGAGCTTAAAAATGAACTGAAAACATCAGCATCAATAAATAAGAAATATTTGGTCATGTTTTGTTGCATCTGAATTTCAGAAATGTGTTGGAGCATGAACCAAGTTCTGTTTAAAGCAAAAACACATAATATATTTTAGTGAGAAATATTAATTACATGTTTATGAACTGAATACACAGAATTTACCTATTAGGCCTTTAAAAAAAATAAAGAATGACTTGAGGCCAGGCCAGACCACCAGGCATTGTCCCGGTGTTCCCGATGGTCAGTTCGCCACGTTAAACATATAATAAGAGACAGACTAAAGAAACGTGTACAAAATCTCGTTGCATCTACTGTTCATCTGTTGGCTCTCAAGCATTGAGGTTATCTTATTAAAGCAGAGTGCACAGGCTAAACGTGTGTGCCTTACCTCAGTGCAAGATGACAGTAATATAATGAGACTGCACTATTCTACCCAGATGTGTGCAGCAGTCCTGCTCCTAAAGGAAATAGGTCTGAACCCTAATCAGCTTTGAATTCACGTTCAGCTAAATGATGCATGCTACACCAAGGTGAAACAGATTTTAAATGTGCTAGTTCCCTGTGAGTCTGGAGAACCCTCAATAACAACTACTGATACTTTATGGATCCAGCTGGAGATTTCTACACATCTGACCACCCCAGAAGAGCAGTGAGATCCCATCAGTATAGCGCTCAGGGAGAAAAGTTCAGGGTTCTGCTCAAGGACACCTGACCTTCTGGAGTCAAACCACTCAACTTCTGCTCAGTGGACACCCGCTCCCCCCCTTCAGCCACAGGTAATGAAATTTAAACACATACATCTACTTTTTAAACGTTATGAGTTTGAGGGTCTGTTTGCTTTTGAGGCTTAGTGATTTTAATCAGTGGTGCTGTGGTCTCCTCATACAACATCCTGATTTATTAGTGTGGGTTTTTATGTGAGCATGTCAATGCTGGCTGGATCCTTCAAGAGATTTGAAACCTTGTAAGTGTCCGAGTGTAGCTCGTGCATTTGTTTACAAGAAGGCTAGTTAGCTTAGCTCAGTGGCCACCACAGCCGTTTCACAGATTCAGGTTTTGAATGACCTCATTAGATGACCTTTAACAGCCAATATTATTTATCCAATCAGAGGTGAGAAAGGCGGGACCTTGCTAGAACATCTTACATTAAGCTGATTGGACCTGATCGCTTTAACCCTCCCACTGTCCCAATGGGTGTGACCCCATGAGGAAAGGTGACCATTGAGCAGGGTTGATCCCTTGAGGTCCACGTGGAAAGGGTTAGGTGGTGCTCACTCCTCACCCCTGCCACATGGACCCAAGGGATAAACCATCAACCCTGCTCAATGGTCACCTTTCCTCACGGCGGGGTCACACCTATTAGGACAGTGGGAGGGTTAAGGGGGAGTGATGGCCAAATGAAGCATCAAGTGTGCTGGAGAAGAACAACAGAAACCTGCTGGGTCTGGTCCTCCAGGACCAGGACTGACAACTCCTCCTGTGTTGGTCCTGGCCTCAGCATCACCTGTCTGCGGTCGCTCATTTTAACTGGTTCCTGTTAAGTAAACTAGTTTCTCTAAACTGTCTGAAGTTCTGGGTGCAGACCTGTAATTAAATGAGAACCCGTCTGGGGCGTAACCTGCCTCTCGCATGCTTCCTGCTTGGATAGATAAACAGTCTGCAGCTACGACGATGTTCAGCTGCATCCCATCAGGATATTTACCTCATCATGACAGAAAGCAGCTCAGACACAGAGGAGTTGTACTTAGGGTCACCCAGTTTCCTCGCCAAGGCCAGTGCTGCCGCCAGCGCCTTGGTGGACGAAAGGAACAACACATTTTCATTAGATGACTGATTAAACATATCATTCACCGCTTGGGGGAGTTTAAATAATAAACTGTAGCACCTTTTCGACCCAGTGGTGTGTCTGGTTTACTGTGATGTCATTTCCACTAAGGTGAAAGCCCGCCAAAAGGTTGAGAGCTGCTAAGAGTGCTGCACCAGCAGACGGAGGAGGTGGAACCTGAATTATATACTCTACCACAGAAATACCAGATTATAGGAAAGGGGATAAAGCACGTGACTCATGTTCAGCCTGTTGGAGTCTTTACCACCGTAGCGGCCTTCGAGTGGTTGTTGCACCTCAGAGCTGTAGTTACCGATGTCCTCGGCACTCAGGACGCCTCCGTTTGCCCTCACCTGTGTAAAGTAAAAGATCTTTATCCTTTTCCCACCAAGAAATCAAACCATGTGACCTGTGAGAATGACCTCCTCCTGTATCTCTTGTGACACGGCCCCATGGTAGAAACTGAACAGACCAGCCTCCAGGACGTCTGCCACGCCAGGCATCCTCAGATGTGAGCCTGGACTCAGAGCCTTGCCACCTGGGATAAAAAGGTTCCTGAAACGCTCCGTTAGCGCCTCTCTTTCTAACTCGGATATTGCAACAGCTGGAGATGAAGAAAATAATTCAGATCCTCCAACAAAAGTCCTAGAATTAGCGTGAGATCTAAAACAGGAGCTGTTTGACACACCCAGACTCTGGGACACATTGAATCCTTCTCTGGCGACTTCTGCGGCTCTTCTGATAACGTCCCCCCATGACAAACTGTAGACAGCTGGTCAAATTAGGCGTCTGGGTAAAAAACTAAACACCAGAATAAAACGATCCTCTTTGAATTCGTACCGTCCATACAGGCTGTGAGCGTGGTGCAGGCCCATGAGCATACCAGGCACTCCCACAAGCAGACCTGCCTGAACCCCAGAAGCGTTCTGCAGCAGGTCTTCTCTCAGATCGTTGGGTGCAGATCCCTCAAAGTTTATCACTCTGGTTTTATTGTGACGGATGTCATGAATCAGCATCACTCCTCCTCTAAAGTTCAGGGATGTTCAGATCAGCCAGTTTTGTGTCAGTTTAACAAAAATCCCATTTAACGTTGAGGAGTCACGTACCCACCAACCCCTGACACGTGCGGGTGGACAACGCCCAAGCAAAGGGCTCCAGCGATGGCTGCATCGACGCTGGATCCGCCATCACGGAGCACGCTCTCACTGAGCACGGTGCAGCGCTCGTGATCGGACGCTACGCCTTTTATGGAGACCTGTGCAGCAACTCAGAGATAAATGAAACAATCAAGGCTGAATTTGTCAAGACTGTGCAACACTACAAACCAGAGATGCATCCAAGTGAATCTGCAGGGCCAAAGCAATGGTGACTCCAACAGCTAGGATGATGGGCACAGCGTAGAGCTGTACAGGTGTGTTGGTCCTGCAGCAGTCTTCATTTGTCTCTTTGAGTTTGGACAGCCTTTGGTTGAACAGATGGAGCGTACCAGCAGACAGATCTTTCAGCTGGATGGTATCTGGGGCAGCAGCAGATGTTTGAGGGTTAAAAAAACCCTGTTTAAAGCTCCAAACCTCCCAAAAAACAACAGAAAGACTGACCTTTTCTAACCTTTACCGTCCGTTTCCTCTCACCCTGTTTATTCTGCAGGTCACAGGTGAAGCCGTTTGATGGAGGGCCATCGTCAAACTCAGATGAACCAGCACAGCTCTTGTAGTCAGAAGATTTCTGCTGGTTCAGTTTGGTTTCAGAAGAAACCCCCATTGCTGACGGACTTGTAAAAACACACGCCACCTCAAAAAGCCTTCCTCTAAAGCAGCATCCTCCTGCAGCAGGAATTTCACTCAGCAGGCGCAATCAGCCCCAAACCAATTACATCACCTGGGTCTGTTGTACTGGGAGGCGTTCAGGGTCATCAGGAAATTGTAAACTCAAAGACAGTCTTTTGTTGTTTTTACTTTTTAATAAACAAGTGAAAAGTTTCAGCCCAAATACATAAATATAAAAGCAGCACACACCTTCACCTAAAGCAATCAGGTCACAAGGCATCGACTCACTTCTCTCAGGTTCACGATCACACACGTGTTGGAAGAAAACGTTGTTTCTCATTTGATGAGGTGAACAGTTCAACACAAACAAATTAATGCACCTGGCTATGAACAAGAGATGGGTTTACGTCCTAAACCTCAAAGCTCGCTGTAGAAATGACTTGTGTGGATAATCTGGTCTAATCCCGGATCCTGCAGGCTGAACTTTAGTGGCTGAGGCTGCGATGTGCCGGTTGTTGGAGGTGGAACGAGTAGTGCTGGACACCTTGGCGAACACGGTTTTGGCGATGGATGGCACTGTGGGACACGTGGTGCCGGTCTGCCCAGGCCTTGGCCTTCTTGATGCAGGTTAGCCGTGTCCGCTCCGTCAGAACCCTCGACTGGAGCACAGAACCAGACGTGGCTGGACCGGCTGTTGTGCTGCTGTTGATGCTGGTGGGCTCTGCATCCAACAAGCTGCAGCGATGCACAACAGGAATTTAACAATAACAGAACGTATTTGAAAGACACCGTGCAGACATCCAATTTTGAGGTCTGCTGCTGCCTCACCTGTCACTTCCCACGTTTGCTCTTGTGTCTCTGTGAGGAGGAACGTCAGATCTCTGCGTATCGTCCACGAGACCATCATGGCTTCCAGGTGAAGCTGCTTCTGTCAGGAGACCCGTATTAACCACATCATCTAAACCTGCCTTAACACTTTCAGCCCTGTGGAACGTGACAACTGTCCAGTGATGTCATAACCCTTATCGGTCTGCATCAGCCTGCTGCTTCGCACAAACTACGATAGCGGGCCTTTCTGAAACACTGCTCTCGTGGTGGTGGTATTAGACCTATGAAGGCTGGGCTTCTGCCACTTGCATCTACATGTTAAATGACTAAGGTGAGATAAAATTAACTGGCTTCTAATAACTAGACATTCTGGTGTTAGAAGTAACCAGTGGCGTGACCAGATCTTTTAAAATGGGGTGGCCCAGGTGAGGCACAACTTTGTGCATGGGTGGCACCAATGGTTATGCTTTTTTTGTTGTTTTACCCCCAAGCCTTTTGTGTACAATGAAAAGCCTATTTAAAGGTAAATTAGTGTGGTGGCACCTGGGGTGGCCAATCAGATTCTAAGGGTGGTACCCCAGGGCATTCCCTGGACACGCCCCTGGAAGTAACCCTTGTCTGTTGAGTACAACTTTATCCCGGACTGTCGTCAAACTCCCCCACGAAGCTCCAGGAGATATTTAATAACGACTTTTTAAGAATATATTTAATGAAACACTATCAGAAAAAATCATTTAGCCATGGCAGCCCGCGAAACACCAACAAATAATCCAAACGGGTTCGAATGAAGGCAGTTGGGATTGTTTGGTTTCATTTGAACCCCTTTGGATTACCATCATCTGGATGACTGAGAACCTTCACCAGCATACGACACCAACAAAGCTAATGAGACAAAGCAATATGACATCACAGCAACATGATTGGACAATGCAAGGCTGGTCCAAATATGTGTCAATGTTATTACTGATCAGATATCAGTAGATCCTTGTTGCTGCTTTATGCTAATCACCTGCCTGGCAATAATCCCTAATGTTTGCTAGTTTTAATGTCTACAGATAATCTAGATTACATGTCTGTACCTTGATGAGGGACAACAAGCCATCCATCATCCAGCTCCTCTCCAGACCTAATGTCCTCTGGGACTTCCTCTTGTCCCCCAAAAAGAAGACGGGCGATGGTTTTGAACATTTTGAGCACCCAAATGTTCTTTCTCCAACAAAAAAATGTGTCTTCTTCACTTGAGTTGCAAAAAAATTAAAAAGCAGTTTGAAAATAAATGTTTTTCACCAGATCACTCCAAAATGAATAACTGACGCTAAATCCAAAGAAGGCAGTGATGCAATGAAAGCTTTTCTTTATGTATTTTTCAAATCTCAGGCAGCGTCCAGTCAGCTGACCGGGTTGTCCAATCAAATGCCTGATGTGATTTTTGGGTTGGAAAGAGCTGCCAGCTCCCCCCAGGACGTCATTGTCATGCCCATCTGTTTCTATATAAAGGGAGGAGGGGCTTCCCATCCAACATCACCCAGCATTCACTTTTAAACAATAGATTCCACTGTTAGCAATAAAATATGTCTTTAAATTCAGAATAACGAGCTTTACTTTACAGTATGATGTTGGTCCCAAGGGGGGTGAAGAAGTCAGAAACAAACAAAGATGTCTACTGGACGATAACAAGTCTACACCAGCTGCTACAGCCAGCCGTTCTTACCCCTCAGCTACAGTATTGTTTCTGTTTCAGTAAGAAACGTTTTCCTTTCCCCGCTGCTCTGTTACAGCATGCACATAATTGTTCTTGTAGTGTTTTAAATATTCAACCGAACTCGGACAGCTGCAGCTCCTCCCACATCAACCACGCCCACTGGTGGTGAAGGACCAATCAGAGGCCCAGAAAGGAACTCGCAGTTTGATTTGAGTGGGAAGAGTAAACATTCCCCTGATAACTCAGTATGATTTCTACGATATTCTAACAAACAGCAACGTTATTGAAAAAGAAGAGAACAACAGATGTTTATGCCGTATGATGGCGGCTGCAGCTTTGACTTTTAAAAACGTCCGTAGGCAAACAGACTGGCTGTAGTTTTCTGTTGTGCTGCATTCACGTGTACCGTACAACCTGGGAAAATGTAACATTCTGTTTCATGCAATTTTCTGAATTACTGAAAGTTGTTAGTCTTTGTAGTTAATTAGTTAATTAATAAAGAACAAACCCACTCCAACTTTTATTTAAAAAATGCATCAGTCTTTTATTATTATTATTGTTGTTGTTGTTGTTGATATAAACCAAAATCTACACATGTGCAACAGTCTCTAAGATTAAAATGTTTATTTGTTATTTTTAATTAATTTACCCATTATAATAAACACACTAAACACTGAAGAAAAAGACTGAAGGAACAGCTGCACTGTTTTATAGTTGTGTTGAAATACATGAAAGATTTTTCCACTGAAAGTAAAATAATATATAAATAATATGACTGATTTGAAGCTCAAACTATGAAATGATGAAACAACAAAACATCACAGATCTTATTTCAAATGTGGAAAAACTCAGAGTTTCCATCTTTTACTTTCCACACTCTCCTCCAGCAGTCTGTCAGCTGCTCATGGTTATTATTCTAATGTAAGATGCATGTTCAAATGTTGTTGTTTAGCTTGTTTGTTTCCCTGTTCATGAAAGGAACTTGTTTAGTTGTTCATGTAAATATGTGATTTTATATGATGCACCGATATGACATTTTTGGGCCGATGCCGATATCACTGTTATAGCTGATAACTGATATTTGCTGATACCAAAAAATGACATTATTGCTTCTAGAATGAACAGATTTTGTACAGAATAAAAATTATTAAAACTGAATTGACTTTATTGTGCACACACACCACACACATTTACGCTTCTGAGATGATTATAACCACTGTCACATGACTAATCAAATGCACATCACCCCCTCACCCACTGAAACAGGCAAACCAATGGATAAAAGATGGAAAAGATATTGGTTGTTAATATTGGCCCAGGTTTATTTATTGGACCAATATGTCAAAAAATGACTCAAATCTGCAGATACCGATGTTGATGCCGATATATTGTGCATCTCTAGTGATTTTTCTAAACTGTTTTATATTAGTACTTTATTACTATTAATAAGACACAAGCTTTTAACTGTTTTGGTCCACACCTTCAGACAGCTCCCCGTCTCTGAGCCCCTCTCCTGGTTGTCTCTCCCTGCAGTCAGAATAAAAATGTATCTGGATGCTAAAATATTAAAACATGGAATTTATTATTATGAAACGGAGACTGACTTCTCGTTAAACAGCTTTAAGCTATTCCTCTATTGGTTTGTACTGAATTTTAATGAAGCCCTTGCTGGGCCGTGTTCAGCCCTCGCTGGGCTAACTCACCATGAGGATGAACTCCAGAGTGAATCTGTAAAAGTTCAGCTGCGGTTTGGCCTGCTCCAGCTCCCTTAGAAGGACAAGTCTGTTACAAGAATCTGCACCT